TGCCCAAACAAAAGGCAAGGTCTTTTGTACTTTCTTACATGGTAATTACCCCCCTTTGACTGACCACTTACAATTGCATATACAGGTCATGCCCCTTTGCACCAAATTCCCTCCAATCATCATTTGTCCCCTCACAGTCCTTTTGCAGGCCTTACAACAGGTTCAAACCAGTTTCACCTGTCCCCTCCTTTTGTGTACCTGTGTTCAAGCACGTACCTCTTTACAAAGACCAGACTTTAACATCCAGGTCACAGCAGGGGTCATACTGACAACTACCTGTCCCCTCCTTTTGTGTACCTGTGTTCAAGCACGTACCTCTTTACAAAGACCAGACTTTAACATCCAGGTCACAGCAGGGGTCATACTGACAACTACCTGTCCCCTCCTTTTGTGTACCTGTGTTCAAGCACGTACCTCTTTACAAAGACCAGACTTTAACATCCAGGTCACAGCAGGGGTCATACTGACAACTACCTGTCCCCTCCTTTTGTGTACCTGTGTTCAAGCACGTACCTCTTTACAAAGACCAGACTTTAACATCCAGGTCACAGCAGGGGTCATACTGACAACTACCTGTCCCCTCCTTTTGTGTACCTGTGTTCAAGCACGTACCTCTTTACAAAGACCAGACTTTAACATCCAGGTCACAGCAGGGGTCATACTGACAACTACCTGTCCCCTCCTTTTGTGTACCTGTGTTCAAGCACGTACCTCTTTACAAAGACCAGACTTTAACATCCAGGTCACAGCAGGGGTCATACTGACAACTACCTGTCCCCTCCTTTTGTGTACCTGTGTTCAAGCACGTACCTCTTTACAAAGACCAGACTTTAACATCCAGGTCACAGCAGGGGTAAGTTTATCCTTCAGGCTCTTTCAGTGGCTAAAGAGCCTGCAAACCCGCAGGCAGTTACGCCCCGAGCCCTAGGAACTCTGTGTCCCTACAGTGTGGAAGGGAGAGAGCCATTGTGCAGTGACACGTGTTACAGAACCGGGTAAATAACTCTTTAGTCACTTTCTCCCCCGACACGATTTCGTAGAGTTCTATCATCTCCCCTCTTTTCTAAGCTGAAAAGTCCCCCTGGGCAGCTGCTCCAAACCCCTGTCACTGGGGGCTGGATTTCGAGCTCTCTCCTAGAAGCCCAGCTCTCCTGCCCTCCCTCTGTCGCTGGTACCCGCTGGGCTTGGGGGGGTCTGGAGCTGGCAGCCAGTCACATGGCGAGGGGACCCCCACACCTGCCTGGCCCCGATCCTGCAGCTGGTCTCTGCCCCGAGCCGCTCGCCCTCCCCCAGGCACGTGCGTCCGGCCCTTCCTGCGCCGCCTGCAAACGCCCCAACAGGCCAGCAGGTGGCGCCCTTGCGCCCCTTCCAGTCCAATCAGCACCCGGACATTTCCCGAAAGCGTGGGTGGGCGTGGCGAGGACGGCGGGAAGAGCATGCGCAGACGTCGTCCAACAGGGCGTGGAGTGAGAGCTGTGCGCCTGCGCGACGACCCCCCCACACACACATCTCCACAAGCGCGGAGGCCTGGTGTCGGCTAGGCGCATGCGCCTGTCTCTTTGCGCCGGAAGCTAGAGCTAGCGGGGGAGCCATGGCGCGGGCTGGGCGAGGGAGCGCATGCGCGAGAGACCCGGAGCGCCGCGGCCATTGGCGGGGGGGGCGGGGCGGGCGAGCGGGG